TGCTTTAATTATTCAGGAAAGACTTTAATTAATATTATAGCGTTATTAATTAACTTTTAAAATACATCAATATGATGGAGAAAAAATTGTCTTTTTTCAAAGAAAGGACCATCACTAAATTGAATCCAAGAGAAAATATGCTGTTTTAAAAGAAGAACGAGAGAGATACAGAAATTAGAATATGGGCATATTTGTTAAAAAGTTCAATAAATTTGATTTTAATATTGTTTTGATAGTAAGGTTATTAGCATTATTAGGATCATCGCTTCATAGACATTATCTGCTATACTTGTTATATTGTTATAATATTATTTTTAAAAAATATTTTATTAGGTTAAAGAAAAAAAATATTTATAAATTTCTATTAATCTTAATCCCTAAATAATGTAAGACTTTTAAATATATTTAAATAAAAACAAATATAATTTATTTTGAATAGTTTAACTAGTACTTATTTAAATTTATTTTAATATACTTTATAACATGTTATTGGTTCAAATGATACTGGATTCAAATTTCTTAAGTAAGGTTTTAAATTTGAGTCTTATGTTTGTAAAAATATAATGGAGAGAGAATATTCCATTAAATGTGGTCAACAAAGTTTTTCGATGGAAAATAGTCATTAGTAAATCTAGTTGGATATTTCGTACTAATAACATAGTTACAAAAAAATACTAGTTATAATTTAATGATAAAAAAATTATTAATATCTTTTATTATAAAAATCACATATTAATTATATATATAAAAAAATTGCTTAAATTAAGTAAGATTATTAATTCATTATAAACTATAATATTTTTCTTTTCAATATTTAATACAATTATATATTAAGAAATAAAATTTAATAAACAACTTTATCTTGTAAAGATTAAATTTTATTATACATTTTTTAATCTATAGATATGATCCATGCAGTGTTTATAAGTTGACAACTAAAGATTAATATGTGCTTGTAAGTTGTGACCTCACTGACCATATATTATTTTAACATAAATAAGAATCAAACTTAAGAGTATTAGGTTGATCATCATGTCTCAATGTAATTAAAGATATTTTAAGAAATATAATATATTTTATGTTAAATTATAAAAATTAAATATATTTAATAAAATTTCTTAATATATATAAAATTAGTTATTTTTATATAGATGTAAAGGAGTAATACGGTAACATTATCGTAATATTATGTGAAACCATTTAACTCATGAAATTTCAACAATTGATTAAAGTGATTCTTCAAGCATTGATTCGATTAAAAACAAATAATCATGATTTTCACATACACATATATGATAAGTCCATTCAAACCCTGTTGACATTATATAAATTTTTGTTCCTCTTAATTATAAATTAAACACTATAGAAATCGTATATGTTAATGAAAGTATCAGATTCAATATGAGAAATATGTATACACAAAAAAGTAACAACTCTACAGATTTTGAGCTTTAGCCTTAAGAATTCCATTCACTAAATATGATTCTTATCGTATTTATCATTCATGCCTCATTCTCATTATCGCTTAAAAAAGGTTCAAATCTTATGATAGTTAAAAGTGAAACATAAAATAATAAAGTCCAAAATAAAATTTTTATGACATTATAAAATTATAAATAGTTATAAAATAATATCTTATAACCTTAAAGTATTTGCTTCTTCTATCCACATCACAGTAACAAAGTTTTGAAAAAAAAACTTTATTTATATTATTCTGATTTTTACTATTAAGTCGATTTTAATAATTTGTATTCTTAATATATTTGTTAAGATAAAATTTAAATACAATTCATTGTTATAATAATATATATAAACGAAAAATAATCTTTATTTTATAAATAAATTTTGTAAGAATGAATTATATTATAATTTATATATTTAATTAATATTTGAATGTATCATTATTGATTATTATTAGTTTTATTAGACCACTTACTGTTAAATCATTATTTAATTATTTATAAATGTTTAATTTTATAAACTTTACATTTAAGATATCAAGTATTCAATATAAATATACATAACTGAAAAATAATTTTTTCTTTAGAAATCAATTTTATAATATTAAATTAAGTTTTAATCCACGTTTAAATAAAACAGAATTTGTATGTACTTAAAATAACTATTAAAAGAACATATTACAATTAAAAATAATCGATAGTTAATTAAATTATTTAACAAAGATAAGCTTATAAATACTTTAAAATGATAACATAACAATTCAAAGTACTCTAATTTTCATTCTTGGTTCAAAAAATGACTCAAATATAACACTTATTTATGAAAACAAAAGTGAATAGAAAAATCAAGATTCCAATTTGGATTGCATAGATGCCTGCATTATGACAAACAAAAGAAATCAGACAAAAAAAATAAAATCACAAAAATTGATTGGTTCAAGTGTGACCGTCTGATCCATACTCAATTCCCCCCATATTTTACCTGCACACCTCTGTATGCTTGCTGTATTTTTATTTTTTAAAACACTGTAAAGTCCTTCTTCTTCTCCCTTTATCCTTCAACAAATGGGTCCATGTCTCTCTTTATATTTTATAATAGAACATAATAATTTTGAAAACAATTAGGTAATTACATTAAAAATGTTTTGAGACTTGAAAAGATACTTAAAAAAGAGAAAATAATTTAAATTTTCAAATAAATAAAAAATTAAAATGATTTATATAAAAATAAAAACTAAAACAATTATTAAAGAGTATATTTCTTTATATAATAATATAAATATTGTTATTATTATCAAACTTTATTTTTATTCTCGCACACCAAAATACTATCCTTATATTCTAAATTTTCTTTAGGAATTTTTTATTTTTTTATCCTCATTTAAAAACAGTTGCATTTAAGATATTATGAAATATTAAATATGAATATCTCATCTGATTTAAATATTGATCCACTAATAAGTGTTAGTAATAAATTTATAGATTTATTTACATTATTTTTAAATAAATTTGAGTATTTTTAAATATTTACATTCATTTATGTTTATCCATTAAAAAATAAAAAAAATTTCATAAAATAATTATATAAAAGTTGATTTTAACTTGCAACAAAGTTTATTATATATATATATATATATATATGCGCGTGTGTGCTCTAACGATTCAATGTTGAATTATAAATTTTTAATATATAGATTAAATATATTTTTTTTAAATTTAAAAATTATTTGAGACGTTATTTCATTAATTTAAATTGATAGATAATTATAAAAATATTTTTATATATTGATTTAAATTTATATAATAAAATATTGAATAAATTTTTAATCTTTTTATAAAATTTGTAAACTTGATTTATATATTAAGAACTTTTAATTCAATAGTATAATTGTTAAAATTTGATAAAAAAATATAAGTTATGAAAAACTTATTCCTGAATCAAATTTTAAATTTATAAAAATAATTAATTTTTAATATATTTTTTATCATTTAAAAATTAAAAATTAAAATAATTAAAAAATATATATACATGAAATAGAGAATTATCTTTATATAAATATAAATAAATTATATATCACAAAATTATAAATATCACAGTATTTAAAAAAAATTAAAAAATGTGGTTTTTTATTTTGTTGTAGTGGTATTAGCGGTGCTACAGTTTTTGGTTCGGAAACAACGAACGCGACAGTTAGACAGATCCCATGTCTCTGACACCACGCAAAGGGCGATAACCGGTAACTCCCCACTTTCATCAGTCTTCACTCTACCTGCTATAGCCGGTGACAAACCAATCATCCATATAAAAGCCAAACCCCCAAGTAACAACCCAGTTTCAACCTCATCGTCATTTGTACCCACGCTCAGCTTTCGTGAGTTCCTCTCTTTCTCTCTCTCATTTTTCTTTCTTTTTCAATTCTTTGTTAATAATAATATTTCTCTGTGTTTATTTCGGTGTGATAAAAAATTGTCGATGATTCTGGAACCTCGTCCGTCCGATGCAACCGAACTGTGTGGTTTGTTGTAGGGTTTGATTTTGATTTGTTTTTTGGGATTCGTGCCATGCTTGGATCTCTATTTCCGCTGCTGTTTTCTTTCGCTCCGGTGTTTTTGTTTGTGGCTTTTTTGTTGCGAAACTAAATTACTATGCATGTGTTGTTTGTTTGAGTTCAGTGGATTGTTAGAGCCTGTTTCTTTTGTTGGATGGGGTTTCTCATCAGTTTTGGTTGAGTTTGAAAATTAATATGGAATTTGTGATTTCTTTTCATGGTGTTTTTAATTGAATATTGGGGGGATGAAAATTAAATTTGAAGAGGTGGGTGAAATTTTTTACAAAAAATTTTGGCGGTTTTTTAGTGTTTTTTTTTGTTGTTGTTGTTGGCGAGAAATAGCAAAATTTGCATTGAGATTTTTTTTGTTGTTGGATATTTGCCTCTTGTTATTTATGAAGTTGATTTAGAATTGTGTGTTTGTTGCTTTTGACATTGAACAATGCTACCTGACTACCTCCATTCTTATTTACACATACAAAAAAAGAAAAAGAATAATAAATAAGTCGCACTTTTTTTCTCACTCATCATTATCAACCCTTTATACTTTATGTGATCCAATGACTCTGCACATAGTTGTGACTTTTTTGATTCTTTTTTATTTTGTAATTACTTTCAGGAGTGATAGTTTTTAGATTATTTTTGTTGTAAAATCATACATTTTTGTGTGTGTGTGTTCAATTCAATGAAATCCCCCTCCCCCTGTTATGTTGTATATTTGTTGTGTATGTATGCGTTTAGGTTTACTCTTAAGTTGAATTTGAATTCTGATATCATTGTTCTGATGAAGACTGAAGATGGCAGACAATGAGGAAGGAGGGGATAAGGCTTCTCGTGGGAATGAATGGGAGGTTGTATCTCTCACAGCATCAACATATGCAGCTGCTCCTGGTCCTGATGAAGTTGAGATGAAGGATGATGGGAAAGTAGATGTATATGCACAGGATGAAGCAGAGACGTCACGTGCTTTGTTCATGTCTAGTCACTTTGTTTTTCCACCCAGTCAGCATGAAAACTTGCCTGTGGAACCTGACTATAGTGAGATACATGATGATTCTGGAGACAAAGATGTTACCTCTGAAGAGACTCCTGAGGAAGTGACCAGACCAAGTGGAAAGGATGAAGAAAACTTGACATTACCAGGGTTGGAAGTTTCAGAGGAGTTTGAGGGCATGCGGTATTTTGATGAGAAAATCAACAGATTATCTGTTCGCGGTAAACAGTTTGAGGAAGGTACAACTCTACCAGCTTTTGGTTTGACTGAGAAGGTGGAGAGTATGTATGATCCTGAGAAATACACTTCTTTCCACGGTGAAACAGCTATTGGTGGTGTAACAGCGTATGGTGAAAGCGTAGTTGAGCCTGAAACAACTGAATTGTCAGAGCAAGGGTCAAATGTATCTCCTGATTTATCAATGTCGAAGAACTCTTCCATAGATAATGAGTACAACCCTTCAGGTCTTCCTTGTGGAGCTTGGTGGAAGCGAAGAGCTGCCTCTTTATATGCGCATGCAAAAGAGGCAAATGCTTTCTGGTCTGTTTTTGTTGCAGCTACTGTGATGGGCCTTGTAATGCTTGGCCAACGCTGGCAGCAGGAAAGAGCTTTACAACTTAAATGGCAAATCAGTATAAATGATGAGGTATATCCATTATCGTCAGTTGTTTCTCTTATAAATTTTTTGTTATCATATTTTAGTTTATTTGTGGTCTGAAAATATATGCATTGAATAAATGGGTCATAAACAAGTTTAGAAAGCACTAGTATCCCTAAAAGTGAAAGTGTAAAAATAAAACACCAACCAGTTCTTGAATATTGTTATACCTAATATACTTGATTCAGTTCTTTTGTCTCTTTTGTGACTGATTCTAAATTTCTACCTATGTACAAAGGACTCATCTATAATTTGTATGTCATGATGTAACACTAACATGTCTTGACACCGGACAAAATACAATTGTGACGATATTGTGAATCAGTGATGTGTGATAATGAAGATTGTTCGATGTATTTGGCATCTTTATGGGTGGAAGCTGTCTGAATACCAAATGATCATGTGTACTGATTTTTATACAATAATGAACTTATTCCACTTTAAAATTAAGAGTGCTATTATTAATTTTGTAATTACTAATTAGTTATTGTCCCTGTCGAAAACATTAGCAGTAGTTGAACGTTGAAAAACTATAAATATTTCCCTATCCTGTAGTATAAATCTCATTGGAAATAATAGGTATTTTGCGTAAACTTGATGTCGCACTTCATCAGTAGAAAGATAGTGATGAATTCTTTTTTGATACAATGCTCCAGCTGTCCTGTTTGACTCCACTTAATACTTCAAAAAATACTAACACTTCAATTGTTACCCGTTCCCTAGGCGAAGAGCAGGGTGCTTGCTCCCATTTATCGACTCAAAGATGTTATTGTTGGTGGCCACCGCCGTGGCTCCTTGATCAGGGGAAGCTCCTCTGGTGAAAGTTAAGGTAAAGGTGGCTCAGTGCTTGTGGCGCCTATCCTTGTAGTAAAAGTGAAGATGATGACGAAAAACTGTATGTCAGAGAGAGGTTGAGAATGAAGAGTGCTACATTTATGAAATGCAGGTTTGTTACTAGGATTGGTTGACCTTCCCCAATTATGAATGCCAATGTTCAAACATTTTATGTTGTGGATTTTCTTCTTCTTTGTATTGATTAGCATTGTATAGCTCTTGGAAGTCGTTCAACTTAGTAAGTTATGTATTCCGATTATGTGAAATTGGCAGTTTAAATACAAAAGATGTAAATGAAGTGATTGCTTTAATGGTGCGTGTTTAGTTTTCCTTTGACTCTAACGGCTGCAAAAACACTTGTGACCCTTTTTCTTTAACTGAGTCTTAATAAAAATCCCTTGAAAACAAATTAAGGAGATACTATCTATGTGAAATTTAGATTAGGGTATGTGTGCAACTATGTATGGGCCCATCTACATACAGCTCGATCAAGCGTCAACATTGAGTTGGTTCAAATGTCAAAGCTGATTCCCTCTATTAGTTTGTTTTTAAATGGACTTGTGATTGAAGGGGCAACATTGCTGGTTCGCATATCATACTCATGCAATTTTTTTATTTTGTATTTTTAGCAAATTTTGATTGGTGAACTAGTTCAAATGATTCACGAATCAGTTAACTAGTTGGTTTTTTAAAGTCGCGACGAAAACACATTCAACTCGTAGATTTTGCAAAGTGACCAGCATAAATAAATAATCAAGCTGACCAACATTAATTTGTGACTTGAATTTTAACACTTCAGTTTCTACATCTCCTTTACACTTGTCTCAATTCCTCGCTTGAACCACATGACTTTTGATAAAATTAATAAATGTTTGGTAATTGAACCACATGACGTGTGAATTTTGAGATTTTTAAAGGTATGGATTGAATTTTCGTTTTATGCTTTTTGAATCATTAATTTGTATGTTATGAATTATTTATAATTTTTTAAATATAAATAGGTCATGTAATTCAATTAGTGATATATTGATTTGATTAGTGATTTATTGATGTGATGTCCTAATCTAGTCAATGATTTATGTGGGTATGATACTATTATATTTAAGTGACTAAAAGTATAATTTAAAAAATGAAATAATGATATATATATATATATATATATATATATGAGAGAGAGAGAGAGAGAGA